ACTCTAAACTAGAAGGGGGACGGGGGCAAGCGCCCCCCCCCCCCCCCCCCCCCCCCCGTGTTGGTACGGCCATGCTTGTCGTCGTTACCCCAGCACCGGACCCACTAAGGGACAAGGTTGAGACTTTGGGCCGGAGCCACGCGGGAGAGAGTCCCGATTTTCCTCTTTTCCACCTGTTCCCAGCTGTGCCAGTTAGTCGTGCATCATTTAATTTTCTCTAGATAATTTCCACCAATCTTCTAATTGCCTCTTTGTGACTGGTAATCCTTTTATCCTCCGTCCTTCCATCGTCACCAGAAAAACGTGCAGGGCCCCGGCCAAATCTATTACCCCTTCAGGGACGGCAGAGCGAAGCCCCGTGCACTTCAAAACCAAGTGCTCTAGTGTCTCGCTCTCATTACGGCAGGCAACACATAATGTGTCGGTCTCCTGAAATTGAGCCCTATAAGTCCTCGTCCTCAAAACTCCCATTCTCGCCTCAAACAGTAAAGAGCTTCCCAGAAATGATTCCGTATTTTCGGGATCAATTTTCTTTGAATTCGGGAGTGTCGGCAAGAAATCACCGCTTACGGTGTGTTATGAAAATCTTTCAGAGAGTATATACAGTATTTACAACGTCTAAGTCATGTTTACAACATTAAAGGCTTAATTGAAAGTGGTTTCCTGGCAAAATTTTTGTAGGACTAGTGCTTGTCGGTAACCGTAAACCCGTATTTGGTGAGCTGCGGTCTCAGAAAGCGAACCATACACTTCACTCTCTGTGTGAGGTCATCATTGCGGTCGCCCATGAGTAAGTTTGAGCCACAGGCTTCTTCTTTTCTTCCGATCTGCATCGGGGCACACAATAGTAGGACGTTTCAACGAAGTTTCGTGGCGAAGCGAAGGCAGACCGTACCGAACGCCGAGCGCAAACCGCACGAACCGCGCGAACCGCACCAAAGCAGACGACGCAATCCCGTCAGATAATGATGATGATGATGATGTTGACCCTGTTAACATAGCGCCTTCAAGCGGTCGCTACGAGTGGTGCGCCGACGGTTCCTCGAGGGCGTTTTGCCAGGTACAAAAAGTATATAGGGGGCACTGTCCGAATAAAATCCGAAAGAATAAACGAAACGCAAGATCAAAAGCACCCCGAAGCCCTCCATTAAGCCAATCCGATCCGATGTAAGCCACTGCAGTATAGATCGGGCTTCCCGCCTCTGGTATTCCGCGACAGCCTTCTAAATTTTGAAATGCATTATTCTAACATCACATAAGGTCCAACAATGCTTACCGAACGAGAACAACAAGGGCTCGCCAAGATCATCGGTGCCTTGGAGCTACCGGACGTAATCGCGCTAGCGCAAACAGTCACCTGCAAGCAGATAAAGCTCACCGACCGATCAGGTAAACCTAGAAATGCGCACACATATTCTTCTTCCTCGGAATTTATAGCCCGATCCGGACTGGTGGTGCACGCTGCGAAATCGGGCCTTTTCATGGATGCATTATTCGAGCATTCGCTTGGAAACGAGGGCTGTTGACACCCCATGCGGTGGCGGTGTTTACACAACAATCTTGCCTCCATCGTCGTAATAGCTGAACGCTCTTTGTGTCCGCTGTTGAGCGCAGAATCCTCGAAGCAACCGATTCAAATGCAGTTTTCTACTCCGAGCTGCTTGCCTGCAAGCCTTGACCTTCGTATTGCGCGGTAACGTCGTTAGCGCGAGCGGATGCAGCACTTCGTGGCACATCGCTTGTTCGACCGTACGCTGTACTCGTTTTAATTGCGCTGACCACGTGATGGTAGGAGGAGGGTCATCCGATGAACGTTGACCGGCGGACAATCTCTTGCCGTTGCTAGTTACCGCCTCGCGTCGCTTATCTTGCTGCAGTGCCGCGTCGCTTATCTCGCTGCCGCGTCGCGAGAGAGTGTCACTCCATATTTTCAGGGTATGGTATCTCTTTTCTCTTCACAGCTCACCCTCCAATTCGTCAGTTCTGGTCACGTGGACATAAACCTCCATGGATTGTGTCCAAGCTTCGCCAGCACTCCTACATCAGGGCTTATTACAGTGCAATGTTGTTGTTTTTCGATAAGGATTCTTTGCAGCTATCCTTTCAGTTTTCTGTAAAGTCGGGGTCACACTGCTTATACATCATACAAAAGACAGTTTGCACACAGATTCGAACGCGAGTTGCCGTGAGATCCGGGCTTTGAATGCTGTATGGCAGTGAGTTCAAGAAAACTTGGCATATGGCATTCGAACCACAGATATTGCGCTGATTCGTGTTTGGATACTGTCTTTTGTAAGATGTATGAGCTGTGTGACCTCAGCTTTACTTGGCTTGGCACACACAACCTATGGACAGGAGTGGAAGAAGCAGTTCTGGCCGCAACAAAAAGCAACGGCCTAAATGCTGAACGGGTTTCGACTGTACTGGTTAAAGGAGAGAGCTGTAGATCATAAACTCATTTCGTACAAGTACTGTCCCTTGTTGCAAATGAACCCATCATTTTCTAAATATCTGGTGCCACGTGGTGGTTTTCTTCTGATCCTGCCCAAAAAAAAGCAAAATTAAATAACCAAACTGAGTGCCCCCCCACACACACACACAAACAAACACATGCACGCACGCACACACAAAAAAAAAAAAAGTGGTTCAAGGATTTTTAGGGTGGAACAATGTGCACCCTTGGGAAGAGGGAAGAAGCACCTTTGAATGAACTTAGGGGCAAAATATAAACCACAATGAGCACCGGAAAGACGTTTGGGGAGCTTGATTTAGGTCAGTGGAGCCAGCAGGATCTAGCTTCCTTGATTGACAGAATGACCATGCTCATTTGAGCACAGGCTCACATATTTTTATATCGGAACCTCTTGAACGGGCGATTTAAAAAAATGATGCATCATAAAGCGTGCGACTTCTATCCCGCCCTTTTTAATTAGCTGTATTTTTCCATAGTAGACCACAGGGAACATTGGGAAGTTTTATTGAAGCGCAAACTACTTTAACAAAATGAACCAATTATTTTTGGCATTCTTCCAAATATTGGTGGATGACCAAAACATGCTGGGCACAATCAGTAAACCATCTAAGCAGAGTGATCACATTCCCCCACTTCCATCCGAAGGTTTGGGGTGCGAGGAGGTAAACATTTACGACAGGGTCGTTCGCCTGTTCCTGCAGTCGAACTACAGATTCGGGCAGCACGCTCGTCTGATCCCTCCCATCTTCCCGTCAAAAAAATGCAACCCGTGTGGCTCTTTTGCCAAACGAGGATTCTTGCACCTTTTTCAGAGGCCGAGCGCGCCATCCTCTCCGGCACGCAAAGCCCCGCCGACCTGCTGAGACGCAAGAAGATCTTGCGGGAGCTTCTGTTCCGCTACCTCTGGAGCGAGAGTGTCTTCGTGGCACCGGCGCTCGCCAAGTCGGACCTCATCCATGCATGCCTGCAGCACTGGCAGGCTTTACCCGACGGCGTGAGTACCAACACCGCGACGCCTTTTAGTCACATCATGATGCCTGCAACGCGTCTCCAGCTCCCGCGTTTGTTGCGTTTTAAAAAGTGGTCCCTCGATTTCCGCCCGACAATGTCGCAGAAGTGTCGTGTTGTCGCCAGTCACGATCCTGGTGGTATCGAGGCGGGGGCTGCGGTGGACGTGGCAGATGACTGTTCTGCCGTGGGTCGCCCTCCAGCTTGATGGTTCGCGGAAGCTTTGGCGGCCAGAAATCTGAATGCTGCAACAACAACAACACTCGCTTTCTCTTGTGCTTTTCTTTTTTAAACAGAATTTTTATGTCTAATTGTTGGGATCGCGATATCTGACGTCACGACACTCCGGCTTCTGTGACGTCGTTTGTTGCCACTTCGGGATGACTTTCGATGCATGGGTGGAATAGGACACTTGGCGCACTAGTTGGAGACACGTTCCAGGCACCAGAACAACACTAATGGCGGCGTATACAGCCATCGAAAAGATTTCTAAGAAGGTTGCCTGTCGAGTCCGTAAACACTAGCAAGTGTCTGCGTTTGCACCGCAAGCCTTTTGCTTGACATGCCACGTGGTGCGATGACATGTATGGGTACTGATACGGTTCATTTTTGCGCTCGAAAATAGTTTCTAGGTGAGACACCCTCAATTTTTTTAGATGACATATGGTAGTGGGCAGATATTTCTGCCAATAAAACTAACTAAAAGACGTAAAGTGTCGACATAAAGAGTTGGCTTGCGCTTGGGCGAATGAGAGCCTGAAACATAAAAGGACAGAGCAGACGTACACACGACTTGAAAGAAATAACACAAACTAGTGATTGGATTTTCATTTCTTTCATGGTGCAGTCTGTGATCACAATAAACATAATGGAGTGTATTTATGTGAGGCATGAACAGGGCAGTGAAATGCGACGTTCGACGATGGGAGTGCAGCGCAAAAAAGTGCCAACGTTGCCCTCACGCTAATCGTGCTGCGCTGAGTATGTCTTCCTTATACACATAGGCTTTTGCCCTTTCATGTTTTATACCTTCATTTCCGTAATCAAAAGAAGTTTCTCACTGATACGGTTTGTGACCACCTCTTTCCTTTTCACGTAGCTCACAATGATTGTGTGTCGGAGAAACAACATACTTATTCCAAGCTGCGTGGTGTTCATATCCCCAAATTTCTGAAAAATGCATTTGGTTTCGTTTTAAAGCAGATTATAGAGTTTGAGACAGATGAAGACTGTGGGCACACCAATGTGCCTTGCAGAACTGATAGACAGAGAATCCAAGGTCGGAAAATATGTTTCGTCATGAAATGAAGCTTTACGTACCAAAACGGTATCACGATTGAGTGAGGCGGCAGGTTGGCGGTAAACGGGATATTCCGATCGTGCATATCTCTGCCGCACCCAGACCTTCAGGAGGAGGATCGATGACTGAATGTTTTAGCGCACACCATCCCAACACATGGAGTGAAGGCTTGTGCTGCTGAACCCTGGGATCCCGAGTTCAATTCCCACCCCTGCCCATTTCAATTTGGACGAGTGTCGTACCGGCGTGCAGTTGCATATATCCTCTGTATGATGTATGTTAACCCCTTGAGTGCCGGTTTTCTGTTTTTCTCGCATGGCGAATGCAAATTTTAGTTTCAGTAGCACTGACGCATGCTCTGTGAACAATATTTACTTACAAATGACACACTGATTTACGGGTAAAAAATCATTGATGTTTGCGTGCCTGCAACCTACGACGCATTTCTCGTATTGTACTTCTCGACACACGGTACTGTGCAGGGGCACCTCGACCTCGCATCCTGAGGTACTCGGCCTTTGTTGATTCGGAACTGTGACTTCCTTGTTTTCACAGTCGTCGAGTGTTGAGTTCATTAGTTTTCTAAATCTCAAGTGTTTGTCACGAAGTGTCAGGTTGAACGACACAGATTCGCCATTCTCTAACAACGACGGAGCATACCAAAGCAAAAGTTACCCAAACAAAAAAAAAAAATATATTGCATGTCACCAGATAGTGACACCACAAGAAGACGCATTGTTTTCGTCGCCTGTTCATATGTACCACCACACGTTAAAAGAAAGACGATTCAGTTGGGAGGGGCAGGGAACAAACCGAAACCTCACAGTGACGCGCTCGAGTACACTCGGGCGTGGCACTGAGAAAGGTTAAAGACCCCGGGCTAGCGGTGGTACAGCACTGGCTAAATTCCTCACCTGTCCTGGGGTGTCCTTTTTAACGGGGTCCATATGAACGCGACACGACTGTACACACAACCCAATTATCGTTGCAGACCTTCAAGTCGGAGGGCCAGTTTCCGCAGGACGACGGCAAGGAGGGCGTGTCCTCTGAGAGCAGCTTCCAGGAGAAGCTGGGACTGGAGTTCACCAACTGGTTCTTTGCCCAGCTCAATGCGGAGTCGGACAAGCTGGGTCACCAGCACTTCTTCTCAAACTGCAGCCTCAAGGTAAGACGCCGAGGTCCTTCGCATACGGTTTGTCTCCCTGTGGCGAGACACCATCAGGCAGAGGAATCTGCTACCAAATGTTACTTTATTGCATGCTTTTTGTTGACATGTTCTTGCGGAAAACCCCTATAGACCGCTATTGTACAACGGTTGCTGTTTTGATGTATGACATAGTTGGGTTGGGCGACAAAGAATAAAGTAAATAGCTTAGGCATAACGACAATGAAAAAAGCACACATTTCCTGAAAGGAGCCGAGATTCGGTTTCGTTACAACTCTGGCAACGCTAACCGCACCAACAGCGGAAGCGACCACCAACGCGAAGGCATCGCTGCATAACAAAAATGGCGACAAGCATGTGCAGCAGCTTTTACTAGAAACGCACCAATACACGCGGAAGTTGCTTTTCGTACGGTTCACAAAACGGCGCTGCTCCGCAAGCTATTTTTCTTTTACTTTTGTGAAAGGCAGGATTGCATGTGTACAACTTCTTTTTATGGTGAAGTTTATCGGGATCATGCAAACCAGAGGTAACATAGCACATATGCAGAAATTGAGACAGTGCCTGCAATTTGAAATGCGAACAGTGCCCTTGGAGGGATCCGGTTCATTGGTTCCTTGGGCACGCTAGAGCCGGGAATTCAATGCCCGCAACTGTTGCACAGAGTGCGACCGTCGGTCCACGACGGGCACAGCCCGTGGTCACGATGTGAATGCTGGATTCGCTGGCAACGTTGTTTGTCAGCCTGGCTGGGCAGTCTGTACGTACTGTGGTCTGGTCCATGTTGCCAATACTAAAGTTGGAGTAGTTGTGCTCCGGACGCAGGCTTTCCGTAGGCATCCGGAAGACGGCGATGGCCTCGACATAGTCGGCCGGCAGCTTTGGGTTCTCGTTCGTCCCCACTCGCTTTGATGCGTTCGGGGTGGGCTTTTCAGCAGGGCGGGCTCTCCAGCAGGCCAGGTGGTGGTTCGAAGCTTTTAAATTGCCCAGGTTCATATGGACTGCCAGTTTGCATGCATGCTCTCGAAGGAGGTGGTTTCTCACTGTTTGCCCCGCTGCCCGCTCGGTATCCAAAAAGTCAGCTATTGCTTCGTCGAGCTCCTCGCTGAAGACCGGCCGTCCGTTGTTGATGGCCCTCTCGAATTGGTTTTTGCCTTGGCACTGCTGCAGAAGGGACCGTTAGGTGCTGTTTCATTCGCAAACATGCTTCCTGTATAGCTAAAAATGTCTCGCAGTTTTGCCAGCATTGTCTCCATTCTTCTTGTGCCATTGGATAACTTCCACCTTTTTCTGAAGCATGTAGCTATTCCTCGTGGTTGATGCTGGAAGCGAGCGCGGGTTAACAGGCGGTGCAGGCAGTGGAATGACCGTCTACTGGAGTGGAGTTTGTTCGCTTGAGCTGTTTCTTCTTTTACTCTGCACCCGGACGTAGAGGTGTGCAAGGGCCTATATTTTGGAGCCTGGCCCAGCCCAGACCGTTGTCTATTGGGCCCGGACTTGCCCGCGGCCCGCTATCCATTTCCAACTTCCGCGCCGGTCAGGCCCAAGGCTAATTCTCACGGGCCAGCTGCGACCCGCTTTATTTTAGCCCAGTACGAATAGCTTACAAATTGCGTGGTATGGCAGCTTTCTTGCCACTGCTACATATATATTGATTACGCTACCCAATAATCAGTGCTGTAAGCATTTTTTTTTTTTTTTTTTTGCTGCTATTATTAGTTGGATTAATCTGCGGGCCTAGGCAGCTTGTTAAGAAACACGCCAGAGACACTTAAGACTGTTTACATGTAGTAATGTAAAAGCATTATAGTCCCGCGGGTGAAATGGTTTCGAGTAATGTTTCTAAACATATTAAAGTTGTTTTTGCCGGTATTGTATTCAGTCTGTTTGCATATTCGTTGGCCCTCAAACCTTAAACTTTCGGACCCTCATGCTGAACAGCAGTGAGGTTGGCCGAGGTTTCATGGGGTGGGTAGCATGACGTAGAGGTAGTTGTTGTTGAAGCTGAGTTTATTTCGCGCTTTGAGATCGTCGATATCTAATGGTTCGTCGGTTGTGATTATATTGTCTTCTGTTGCGATGATGTCCTCATCGTCGGACGGGTATATGTCCAGAGTGTTGTCCTCATGTCATAGTGGTTAAGGTGCTGTGGGTGGCGATGGAATGGGTTCGATTGAGTCTGGCATTGCCTTGTGGTCGGTGAAGTACGTGGACAAGCACTTGACGTCTTTGACAGCGTTCTGGTTGTGAAATGCGAAACCAATGCACATTCCTCTAAATGTGGTGATCGCTGTGCATGGTTTTGCAAGTAGAACTCGAGGATTATCATAGAGTGTGTTGAGGAACTTGTTGGTCCTTGCGTTCCGATTGAAGTCATCGAGTAAAACTAGTGATTTCGAGCGAATGTCTTGCGGTATGATGCATATGACAAACGATGCTGCGTCGTATTTGGATGTATTTGGAGCCAGGTAGACGCAAACTATGACGCATCCGTTGGGCAGTGACACGGCACAGCTTTCTCCGTAGTCATACCGTTCTATGAGCTGCACAGTTGCGGGTTCGACGCGATGTTTGGCGTAGGTGGCAACTCCTGCGGCAGCGTTTACGGGTTTCTTTGCATCGCAAATGAAGCGATAGATACCCTTGGATTTTTCTGCCGTCACTTGGATGCATCCACGTTTCTGTGAGACAGAGAAGTGACGCTTCTTTGAAGTTGACGTCGTGGGCTACGTCTTCTTTGTGCTTCGGCAGGGACCCTACGTTCAAGCAAGCAACGACTTATTGCCTGCCTTTTCACTCGCATTGTCGCATTGATCCGCTCTTCCTCGGCTGTGGTGAATTTGCGTGGACAGCCACGTTTGCTTGCGGAAGCCGCCATAGATGTAGACGTTGCCGCCAATGTCAAGGCCGTAGATGTAGACGTGGTCGCCCGACAGTCTATCGCATGAAGCCCACAATGAGCACAGATGAAGTCCGAAGAGCAACTGACACGCTGGAGGCAGTGGTGACATCACGCTCCCCCACTGCGCAGGCGCGGCGCCCCGCCGGCTTCCATGACGAAGCATCTGCACTGCTGTGCTTTTCTGTGTGTTTTATTTCTGAGGTACGTCCGCTTTGACCTTAAGCAGCGCGTGCTTGATGACATATTTTTATAGCCATCTTTTGGGCACAGCGCCGACACCGCCTTTTCACTTAATGGGACAAATAAGGCTTTCGCCTTAAAATCACCTCAATCATCCTTTTCTGCGACTAAATCCCCACAGAAAGGACAGAAAAACAAAAATGACAAACAGCAGTAAACAAAACCATGTGTCGCAGTTGAAAAGAAAGGGAAACGTCACGACGGGTATAGACAAAAAACAAACAAAGTTTTAAATTGCCGAATCGCTGCATACAACCGAAAATTTTTTTTAAAAAGTATGGTCGTCTTTTGCGGTGGTCTATGAGAAATTGTTCAGGAAAAGCACCCCTCAGGTGAACCTCTTCACCCATATTGTGGATGCACGCACTCGTGCACTCAGATAATTTACGCCGGCAACAGTGCGCATTGTGTTTGCACGTATGTCTGCGTATTGATGGGGAGAAGCCATTGTAGGATGGCGGCATCGCAGGGCACGAAGAGGAATGCCGTGCCGTTGGTGCCGTGAAAGAGCATTCGCTGCACACACAGCAAACCATACAAAAGCATATACATGTGCACGCACATGCTTCAAGATTTGTGTCTCCCCCACTGTGGTTCCTCCCCAACCCCCCGAACACGCTTCCAAAAAACATGATACTAAAAAAAAAGAAGGGTTATGGCCAGCTTAGCTTGCTTTAGCCCACCTCGTAGACTTGAATGCAAGGCCCCTACTCTGCATGGGGCCCTCATGAATGTGGCCGTGAAGCCCGATCCTGGCTTGCGGGCTGGCCTGTACCAGTGCAGATCTCTACCCGAACGTCTCGAACGTTTCACTTCTACTTCGCCCTTATCTCGCCAATCTAACCGACAAACATCTTCTCTTTTGTTAGAAGTCTGGTCGCTGGTGGTGGTCACAGATGGGTCATCCAAGATTTTTCTGGAAGGGCCATCAGACATCTTCATGGCAGGAGCTTCCTGGGCTTTGGAATGCGTCGAAGCTAGCGGTATTTTTAGGGGCTGGGCTATGTTTGGGAATTTTATTAAAATAGATATTTTGGCCAAAAAGGTGGGAGGGCAATACGTATTTCAGGCAAGGTCGTTCCCTGGGAACTGTACGGTAAAGCGATGTTGCATCTTGCCCAATCCAGCTACGTCAGAATTCGAACATGGCGGCCATCACGAAGGAATGGTGTGTATAACAACTCTGCGGTGTATCTGTACTTCTATAAACAGCAAGTCAGCAGTCGTGCAGCCACCTGGCAAATCTCCAGGCACAGACTTTGTTTTCCTTTCCTGAGCTCGCAGGAGTGGGCTCAGAGAAGCAGTAATTCGTGGGTTTTCAAACTGGTTTCCTAGGAAACCCGGGTTTCAGCCAGACTACCATCCAATCTTTAAGTTTTTTCGACCGTTTCTGCCACAAAGCAAAGCATTTTTCCAGTTTATGCACTGTTGGAGCAGACCGGGACGTGTTCTTGGGCTGTCGTCAAGAGAGAGAGAGAGAGAAGAGTTTCTCGAGTTTGAAGAACCCCTTTCATAATTATTGATGATTTTGGCTTTTTTTTTTCCCCGTAAATGAAGCAAAGCAGAGTTTTGGTTAGAATAGTTGAGGAACGCTTAATTAAAGTACACATGCAAAGGAAAATATTTTCTTTATTTAAAACAGGTTAGATGGAAAACGAATGTTATAAAACAATTTACAACGAAGAAAAAAATATTTTTAGAGCTATATTTACGGCACAAAACGAATTGGTACTTGGCGCCCTAGGGAACCGTTGCTGGTCACGTGGTAGACTTGTGCACCGTCACCACGCCGCCGCCGCCGCCGGAAAGGAACACTCTGGGGCGCTGCTGTCATCAATTTCTAACCGGCAAACAGGTTTATCACATGGTGCTTGCACTCTTTCAGGAGCTTCCTTTGGGCTCTAAAAGTTACTTAATCTTTGGTTTTTATTGCACTTCAAACGAAGATAAATAAGTAACTTTTAGAGACCATGGGAAGCTTCCGAAAGAGCGCAAGCACTACGTGACAAATAGTGACCAGTCACGTGATAAATAGCGACCACTTTTCCGCGACGCCCGTGGGGTCGTACTACAGATTCGTATCATGCCGTAAATATAGCTCTAAACATTTTTCTTTTTCGTTGTAAATTCGTTTTCCGACTTCCTTTTCTCAACCAGGCTGTCTAAAAAGAATGTATCTTCCCTTTGCATGCGTCCTTTAAAGGGGTGCGGAAACAAAAATTAAATATTCAAATTTCATTCGGAAATGAGTTAAGCACGGTGGATAATAACCGTAAATAATAATCGCCCGTTTGTATTTTGAACGACTGGCTATATTTTTCGTTCCAAACGGTGCACTCAAGCAAGCGCTCGAAGAGAAGCGAACGGAGAGCGCGATGCGTCATGGGATATCCGGCGCAAACAAAAATAGAAAAAAAAAAAAAAGATTCCCCATATTCGTGACATAGCAAAGCTGGCGTGGTTATGAGCTTTGCCATTGGTGGCGTTGTCAGCATTGTGATGGTTTCAATAGCGTCAACGTGTTACAACCGAGCCGTTCGAAGTACCCGTGGGGTGACGAGCATGTGGCTGGCTCAAGGAGCATGCAGCTTCCACAGCACTGTCAGCTTAGGGGTGAATGGGGTGGGAAAAGCAACTTTTGTCAAAAGTTTGAGCGACGGACTAATCTTCCAGGGGGAGAATTGCTGTGTCCAAGTACACAAACGAGGGTTTGGTACAATGCGCGATTTGTGAGTTGAGAAAAGCTATGAAAGGGGGGGGGGGGGGAATGTTGAATTCCAAAGAGCGGCACTGCTCCAATGGAACCTGCTACGTCATGACAATTTAGCAATTTCCCCAACGTTGCTAGATTACCTCCCAAATAGGCTGCACATACATCCACCAGGTGCACATTGAAGGATTCTTTATTTAGCTTTAAAATTAGTTTTCTTGTGCCTTTCAGCAAAAGACTGGTATTTTTGAGGTTATGCTACAACATGCAACACATTAAAGCTAAAAAATGAGTGCTGGAATTGCGTTACCGTACTCCTTTAAGGGGGCACTGCAACGATTTTAACATTGGAAGAATTTGCAGCGTGTAGATATTTTATATACTGCTTATCTCGGCACAAGTGGGACAAAGTGTGGCACCTTCCCTTGAAATACAGTGTAGACTGCATATAACGTATGTCGCGGGAGTCACGAAAATCCACACTATAAGCGGTACCGCGCTATAACCAAAACATCAATTTTTCAGGCCAAAATACATGCGACGAGACAACTTACCTTTGTAAAACAATTTATTTTATATTAGATGAAAAATAAAGCTTAGTTTGAGGAAAGTCTTTATTTCACCAGGCTAGTACACTTCTCTCTCAAGTGTGTCACATTATTTGAAAGAAATGAGTGACTTCTGCCTGGCGCAGCCTTTTAACGGCGTCGCGGGTTGCGGACGGACGTTGCGAGCGTTCAGGATTGCTAACCCTGATCACTTTTCTCCGGTGATGAAAACACGTAAAAATTTGCATCCTTTATACGGTACGCGCATGAAATGCTTCAAATAAGAAATCCGGGCGATATTCGAAAACACAAATGCTTAGAAAGCACCACTGTAGTCGAAGTAAACAAACACGACGACACGGGCGTTTCTGCTGTCTTGAGAGTGTGGCCACGACATCGCCGCACGAGTAGTTGGATCTTCCCTTCTAGTACATGCTGGGTTATCATAGCGACACACAACGAAAATTCACAGTCAAGGATAGCGCTTTTACGCAGAACGATGAGCTTTCACTACGCCTTCGACGTCGACGATCACCACCAACGCCATGTTCGCGGATAGAAGCCGGCCCGCGACCGGCATGCAACGCGCACAAACGGCTGGTTCACAGAAGGCTTTGGCTGGTTGGATGGTTGGGCTAAAGACGGCTATGGTTGGGCTCGCCAACGCCCTGCGCCGTGAACGACACGTGCGTGCATCCCTCCGTCGCTATGGCAATTGAAGCCTTTCTCTTCGCTTCTCCCCGCTTCTTCAAGCAATCTCCTTGCCATCCTTGCCCCCACGAGTGCCGCTTGCGGCTAGCGCCGTTATCTGGTGTCGCACAGGGAAGCGTGCTCGCTGCATCGGTCGGTCGGCGAAGCGTGCTCGCTGCTCCAGAAACCGCACTATAACCGGTATTTCTCTTCGCGCGCCTGCATTTTAAGCGGTATGTAATTACATGAAGTTCTATGGGAGGCGAACCGGTGGTTTAAAAAAAACGCGTTATACCCGGTCCTGCACTATAAGCGGTTACGTTGTAAGTGGTCTATACTGTACTGTGATTTCACTGCGTAATCGCAAAGGAAAAGACATTTTTTTTTAAAATCTGTAGTTGCTTGTGGCAGTCATCGGGACTATGACGTGATGTCGTTCAATGTACGCGAGTTTTCGTGGCGCCAGCTGTTTGAAGTCAACAAAAACCACTTCCTCTCCGTCGCTACTTTTTCATCTTTTCCATGGCAAACTGTCTTTCATCTCAATCGCTCGCCATGACCTTCGACGATGCTACAAGCAGGTGCGGCGCTCTATTGTAGCCGAATCGGACCTCATAAGTCGACGATCGTGGAGGCAGGGCTGGCGGCCCCAAGAGGTGGTACTCCGAGTGATGTCACTGCACCCCAACCTCCAATTTGTTGTAACTTCTTTAAAAACAGCAATGAGCACACGCAAGAAGAATTGCTTCTTTTCTTCATCCTGTAAGTGACATGGGACGATTCCGGCGGCTAATCGGCCAAAGTCCAAAAATGGTAGCGTCGCCCCTCTCACCGCGATCACAACGAGGACGAGCCAGTATAATTTACTGGGGCTCGGAGCTCGTCAACGGAAAGCCAGCTCTCTCCTCCAAGAGGCGATCCTGGCGAGAGACATCGAAGGAAGCACTACCACCTAAAAGACAAGGCCCCTTCCCCCCCAAATTTCATCTTGGGATCCTTAACAGCGACATTGTGCACAGGCCTCGTCCTCTAGATGGCATAGACAGAAGTCCGTCCTTCCCCCGCAGGTACACTGCTTCGAGGTGGCCGCGGCGCAGGACAGCAGCCCCTCCAACCTCCTGTCAATCCGCGGCTCCGAAGCCGCCTCCCGGTTCCTGTGGCAGCTCGCCGGCGGATCCCGGCGCATGTTCCACCCGAACATCCGGTCCGTCAAGTGCCAGGTCGAGGACCACGGGATGGCGCGGATCCAAGTGAGCGGGGTCATCCACGAATACCGCAGCTGTGTCGGGCTCTTCGACTGCACGTTCGGACTGGTCCGCGACCCGGCGGCGGCCGCGCACGAGACCGACATCTGGAAGCTCCAGTTCGTCGAAGTCCGACTCCGAGTGTCGAGACTGGGTTCCGTGACGGCGGCCGTGGTGTCTACGAGCGCGCAGAATGACGTTTCGATGGACCTCGAGTGCTCGTAGCGGGAACGCCTCCGTTCAAGAACAGGGGAGTCGTTCCCGGGGAAGCGGAGCAACGGGAACGTTTCGGCACGAGCGGAAGAACGTGAATCTGACCGTCGGGGGGGGGGGGGGGGAGGGGGGGGGGGGGGTTGTGGTGGTTTGGGGTTTGAGAGAAAAATAGTTTCTGCGTCAACATGTCGGGTGGGGTGCCCACATGATTTTCCCCATTTGCTTTTACAATAGCATCCCTCTACAGAAAAAAACGGTATAACAAAGATATGATGATCATAGTTAGGGTTCCATGTTTTCTTGGTTTATTTTTTGTTCGGATTTTGGCCGTAATCTTTTTGGGTCTTTTTTCTTTTCACCCCGCAGGTTTGGTGGTTTTTTAGATCAGTTTCTCGGGAAAGAATGCGGCGTTTATCGGGGTTTATGTTGAAGGAATCAAAGCCGGCGATTTGCCCGTCTCCGTTAAAGTGTTTGATTTTGAAATATGCCAATGGATGGCGACACCAGAGTATTGTCGAGACCGATTATAATGAAGTCAACGGGAATGTGAAATCACTTCGCTCTATCCGCTATTTCGTTATATAATCGACTTCGGTTAGCGAAGTGCAAAATGAAATGGGAAATAGTGATCGCTTCGCTTTAGCCGCTATTTCGCTATAACTGACGTCGTTAGAACTGATCTCGACAGTACTTCGATATGGTACTGGTCACGAATTTCCTCCGTAACACTGTGGGAGAGCTTTGTATGCGACCATGTGCGGTGCCAGCATCAGAAGGGGGCTAGGAGCCACCAATCTGGCACCGCTGGCAGTCTGGCAACCAGAAAGTAATATCGGAATTTAGAACCCAATCTGAATTGAGGCACCAATAGACCGCGAAATTACACTGACAGCGTTTCTTGTTAATCTGAGCATCTTGAGCTCGGTACACTCAGTCATCAGACCAAACTTTTACACAATGTTCCCCAGAATAATACCATTCTTCATTCCCTTTTTTGCCTCAAAATCAATTCTTAATACCGATATCGCCACCAAACTTCAGCACCGCAAGTAGCACCATCAAGTACCTGCACTGCGAACCTGTAAGTGGCTGGCTCTTTTCCGCTTACAAAAATGCCATTTTGTTTAAAAACAAACGAAAAAGAAAAGCATATTTGTAAGTCTTGATGCTAGAGATCAATAAAGAATGATCAATGCGTGCTTACAGTGATTAATTACAGGCAGAACAAAGCGTTGCCATACGGGAGATTGTTTTTTTTGAAAACTACTTATCATCTCAAATTTGGGGTGGCTCACTGAGAGGGGGGTGAAAAACAAAAATGCCTCATTATGAGTAGTAGTGCCCTTGGCCGCGGTCGTTGACCCTGTACCAAACTTTGTCCGAAGTTTAATGACCAGTGGCGTATTGAAGGACTCTGGCGATGCTATTACACCCCGTGTGTTCTGTTTCGTACTTCTGACGCTAATTGTGACAGTTGCATAGAGCAGAATTCGTCAAGGCAATGCCACGTCAGCGAAGTTCTAGGCACAAGCGGATGCTGATGGAGTATGAGGAATCTGCGATCAATATTTGCGCGCTTCTGTGGTTTCAGCAGTTTTATATCTGCAAAGCTCTTTTGGCTGGATCGCATTCACATACTGTTCACTATCAATTTAAAACAAAAATTACGAGGGTGATTCAAATGAAAACCTTGAAAGTGCAGTAATATTCCGAAAAGTCGTACGATTGATTTGGTAATTGGCAGGAGTAATCCTTGGGATTCAAAGAATGACCAACAGGTGGTAGCATGTTGCATCAGCACAGATGAACGAAGCAGCATTGGTGCAAAGATGGTTGTCCCATTGTTGACATGCACTGAGTTAGAGCAGTGATCTGTGATGCGTTTTTGGAGTAGCGAAGTTGTTAAACCAGCTGAAATTTATGGCAGGATGAAAACTCAGTACGGTGATCTGTATCTGTCTCTGCAGCAAGTGTATGAGTGGACCAGAAAGGTTCAAAGCGGCTTAGCTTCTGTGGAGGACGCCCTGCGACCAGGCCTGGCACACCAGATAGTGACAAACGAAAACATTGCCGCAGTGGAAGCACTTGTTAGGGAAAACAGACGTGTTACTGTGGTGGGAATAGCCTTTATTTTGAATATCAGTGCTGGTTCAGCACGCAATATGTCCATGATGACTCAAAGATGTTATGGGAGGCAAGCATTTCACAAGCGATGAAAAGGTGAAAGCCATAGTGCACGAGTGATTTCAGTCGCAACCAACAGAATTTTTCTCACAAGGTATCTTTGCACTTCTGGAGTGGTGGAACATGTGCATTGCACGTCATGGGGACTACCTACGTCGAAAAATAATATATGTATATAATTTTTCTGCATTTCCTCGTTTGCCTTATAATAAAGAAATCAGGTTTTCGATTGAATCACCCTTGTACCTTCCACTATCGCATGCTTCAAGAGTCATTAAGCTTTCCCTCTGGACCCACGGGTGGTACTAGTTCGTTAGAAATGGGGCTCAGAATACTGCGTTGTTAAGGGCGACGACACAGTGGAAGTTTTTGGTTCTCCTTGGTTTTGAGAAAACCTGTTCAAGGATTTCTTTTCAGGGTTTCTCAGTATCTACCAGAAACATGGAACCCTAATTGTAGCGAAGCAAAACTTAAAAATGCTTTAAATGATACGGGTACAGACATTTGAGGTATTGAGGTAGTAACGACTTTTTCTGAAAAAAAGCTTACTGTACTATAGAGAGGTTCCGTTGTAGGAAGGCTATTCGTTCACGAGCTGAACTAAAAGATGCTTCGTGGTTTGCCAGCTGACCTTCGAGTGATGATGTAATTGACGCTAAATAAGGTATGCACGTGTCTTGCTCGTTGGGCTATTTCGGTGAGGCCTCGCAAGCTGGTCGAGCAATGGCACGTCAGTCAAACGACTTTCTTGGCGAAACCTAGCTGTGACTGCTGACGCTGTACTCGTACGCCAGCGTATGTGCTCGTTGTGCTGCTTTCCAGGAGTTGTAGTTGTCATGCCCCGCAACAAAAGTCCCACGTTTTTGCTAATCACGAAGGATTTCTTTTTGTGCTGTTCGTCAAAGACCTGGCATTTTTGTTCACTACAATATTTTTTATGCCCTGTAACAAAAAACTGATGGTATTGATAGTCTTAGTACTTGCAAAAACCTCTCTTTATAAAAGTGTTGTTTTCTTTCAAAAGCCTAACATTCTTCATAAGAGTCTCTTCATTCTTTGACAAAAGCTTTACATTGTTACTTACTAATATCTTTTTATGTTGACTGCCTGACATAAACTGAGTTGTCGGCTTCATGCTGTTCAGAAGCCCATAAATCTATAAATCATCCATGCTTGAATTTAGGATTAAGCTTGCTGTCCCTATGTAGGCTGAAGTTATGCATTACTCATTTTGTTCATTAGTTTGTCCCTGTGCTGTTTTCTGCAGGGTTAAGATAAACCTGAACTGTTCCCAATAGCTCTTTGCTGTGCGAAAGAGAAATAGAATGTTGAGTGTTGCATTTAATCAGCAAGCTAGATTGAGTTTTCTTAGCTGAGTTACTGCCGATTGTTCCTCGCTGTTCTTGAGTCGATCGCATAATAAAGATCATGAAGTACAACTCCTGTCTGCAAGATCAGAGTTGTTGTCGATTAACTTAAGAGCCATACAATCGCGTGGTATAACATTTTGACCCCTTTGATTCTCCCACTGTAGACAGTAGGCAGAGACCATCATACTCTAATTTGTTTTGAACCAGGTTATATGTTCAAGGTGTATTTGGGGACCGAAGAGCTTGCTAATACCTTTTGGATGTACAGCATCCCGTGGGTCAAGCTCAAAAGAGAATCTTTTGTCATCTGCACACTTAAAATACATTTGAGTGATCTTCTAAACATACTCACGCGATCTTGTTTCCGTTCCCGGTCTGCCAACAATGACGCTTGCGGGCTCATTAATGCATATGCTCAGCACATGCTTGATGGTGCTCATTTAATAGAGAGATCAGGAGCACCGTCCTGTGATGCTTTCTCATGCGGAGGAGGCCGAAGACGTGTCTTCAAAATGAAACGACTGAGGGGCGTTTTAATGGTCTCAAGAGGGTGTTGGTAAGTGTCGACAACATATTCTAAACGTTTACGGGGAGACTACGGGCATCAAGATCAAGACAAAAAAGTTGTTTGGCTCGGCACCTGACAGTTAATGTCATGTGGTCGTGACTATGGAGTTCCTCATAGTATGAAATAACTCCAGCAGCAGAAAACCAGGAGTGCTTATTAGTTACCAAAATAAGTTTCCCCAAAAAAGACTATAAAAGAACCTTCTCTTTTGTGCACATAGCTATGGTAATTACAGTTGCCGACCAATTTTTTTAACGCCGATAATTCGAACTTGTTCGATATTTCGGACCTAAAGGAGGAACCGTGACCTACCCGATAGAAATAGTGCATACTCACGACCAATGTTTCAAACAGCTTGAAGTTCGAAAGTTCAATTTTTCGGACAAAATCGTCGCAAGCGATAAGCGGGAAACTCCACCGAGAAGCGGCCATTTGGGATTTTATGTTGGCTGCACATGGACTGCCTTGGTTTGGCAGCGCTACTGTCCTACTGCTAGGTGCCGCTGTACGGCTTTTTTTTCTCTAGCCGTGCGTTATTATGATCATCATTGTTATTTCCATTTTGCTTTGTTCATTCGCCATCGCAGTCATGGACTTGCACCTCTCATCTCGATCTCGTCTCGGCGAATAATGTTTTCGGACTACTCTGGCTTGGACGTCAATGCTCCATCTGTTTTTCCGCCGCTGCGATCTGATGCTAAAAAGCGCAGAAAATGCTGGACCATAACGCTAGAAAAGAAGGCAGCGATTCTCAAGCTAACAGACACAAACCCTACAAAGTAACCAAAAACATGTTTTTACTTCTAATACAGACCGAAGACGCCTACGGTACTCCTAATATGATTGAGACATTCGCAAAATTACCAGTGTATGATTGTTCAATAAGTAAATAGATATCTGTAGCGCACAGGTCCCCTGTAGGTATGACACTTGAAATTGTCTCCCAACACTCCAACAACTGCTGTTTTTTCCACAGGCTAACTTAAAAAAAATATTGCATAAAAGTTTCTGACATGAAAGCTCAAAATAGTCTGATCCAAAAGTGGGAATCTCTGCTCCAAGACACACTGTTCCCTGCTACAACGCCTGCTCCAAATCACCACTTGTCAGTTCTACTACTGTAAAACCGAAACCAAACCGACTGCACACTGCGCTCGACGCTGTAACTCCACTTTCCCAACGTTGTTTGTTTACAATGCGATCTGATGACAGTTGCGCTCTTGCACATGGTTTAGTTTATGCGAGAATCGTGTGAGTGGGTTTGCTTTTAGTGTTCATACCCATGTCAAACTCCCTGGATTTTTTTTCTTTAGCGCAGTTAATAACTTTGTGTTATACTATACGCTATTGACTCTGTCATGCCCAACGGCGGGCATCAGCACTGTTGCGTTAAGTGGTGCACTAATAGCTCAAGGGACAAGGACAATACGTACAAGTTTTTTCGCATCCCAAGAAACGACAGGTGAGCTCCACTTTCTCCCCACTTTCTCCCTATTCACCAGCCTTAAAATGCTTTATATTTTTCATATAAATTATCAATCAATGTTTGCGATCCACAGTTGTTAGGTTGCGAGTTCCACGTAGGTACAGTGGAATAATTTTGATTGCCAATGTAGAGGTAAAAAAATGCTCAATATGCAAATTTTCAATCAATATACTACTTATGTTGTCCACCAAATGAACCCCGCGCTAGCTGCTACGATTCTTTTTTATACTATAGTGTTTAATATTATTTCAAACAGCTTTTATTCTTTCGTTTCTTACTTTTGAGAGGCAAGTTTCGCGGGTGGTCCTCATGCGATACAGTCACCACTGAAAAAAAAATCCACACAGTTTTCAAATGTTGGATTACTCTTTGGGGCTTTTGTTGGAGAATTTCTTTTTTTTATTGCCGTCTTCACCATGTACTTTTCGGTCTCGATGGACGTTATATGAGGTAATCACCATCATGGTAAGCAGACTAATTAACTCAAATGTGTTAATTTTCTTTTTAATTATTGCTTTTATAGGTCATGTTGCAATTACGGTATACTATTGAAGGATGAACCAATTTAAAAAATTGCAAAAAGGTAATGTTTTTTTATATGTATTCTTGAATCAATATGCATGTTTTTTTTTTAAAGCTTGATTTAAAGTATGCATTTAAAAAGAGTGCCGTAAGCCCTGCCCACAGTGGCGGAAGACCGCAAAAATGTATCCATGAATGTTGCAATTTTTTAAGATTGCCTAGCCTCAAATAGTAAATGCTGTCAATATTGGAATTGTAACATGACCCATAGAACCAATAATTAGAAAAGTTCATTAACAAATTTTAGTTGATTTGTCAATCTAAAATCACGGTTATTATCTTTTCTAATGTTTGGAAGCCTGGTAAGTTCACAATAAACACAATTCGTGTAACACAATAATTTTTTATTTAATCTGTTTGAATTAAGATTAAAGGTAAGTGCAACATAAAATAAGAGGCAAGGTGAGTAAGTGAAGAGATAATATCGCTAGTTGCATAAGTTAAATAGCTGGTACACTACGCTCCATTCTGCTTTATGCACATCTTCATACTTATATTTACGATGCAGTTCAATTTTGAAAACATCCACACAGTTTTCGAACATATGGAGAATAAACATTTTGTTGATTGCCTTATAGCATGCATTCCTTGCAGTACTATAAAGGTTTGAGTTGTGGGCTTTCTAGAATTTCATTTCGTATCAACAGTATCATTTATTCCTAGCTAGGGGTGTGAAAATGGCATCCTTTGTTCATACCTAAGTGAATAGCAGACAAAAAGAAATTAAAATCATTTACAATTCTCTGTAATGCCGGGGAGAGGGTGTAAGGCCGGGAGGAGGGGAGAATATGCCCCTCCTTTCTCTCCGTACCCTCTCCTCCCATTTAGCGGGAAATTTTCTTGAAATTTTAGCGCGAAAATTTGTCCGCTAAATTTAGCGGGGAATTTTATCTACTAAATTTAGCGGGAAATTTATTTCCGCTAAATGTAGCTGGCAATTTTTTTAGCTAAATATAGCTTTAGCGGGTTAAGTTTTCCCGCTAAATTTAGCTGAGAATTTTTCCCGCTAAATCTACCGGGGAAACTTTTCCGTTAAGTTGAGCGGGAAATTTACCGCTAAATTTAGCGGAGAAATTTTTCCGTTAAATTTAGCGGGTTAAGCTTCCCTGCTAAATTTAGCAGAGAATATTTTCTGCTAAATTTAGTGGGAAAATTTTTTTATTCACTTTAGCGGGGAAACATCGCACAATGTGATTCCCAGTTATGTTAACCCGGAAACGGACACCTAAGAGCTGCGCTTGAAAAGTCCGAGGACACCTAAGCACTTCTTACGAGTTGTGAATGCGAAAGCACGAATGTCGTTCTTCCGCTCCCTTAATTCGTCTGCGGCGTAGAGGCGTGGACAACCACGTTTTGCCAGCCGACAGCCTAGCACACTTTCTCGTGAAGTGGCCGTGCCACGCTCAGCCGTACACCCACTCCAAAGCTTGCCCGAACGGGCTCTGCTGCCACCGCTGACGGCCGGGTCGCTCTTTAGGGTCGCTGCGTGTGCTGCGCCACCATGGAGAGGGCTTCTCTGGTGGCCTTTTTTAGAACTACGCCGCACGAGATCCATTGGGAGCCTTGTTCCTTGATGATGCGCACCAGCCAATGGGAGCCTATCTATCAGATGTCTGCTACAGACGACATTAGGACAGAGGAAGGGGCCGTTTAGTGCAGCTTTAAAGCTGATGACTACAATTCGCTCCATGGGACAGTTAATGCTTTCACATTAATAACTTGTCTATTATCTTCACATATAGTAGACTAGTTTTCTTGCTGCGTTCCGTGTCACAACGATTGAAATAAGTCTAGAATTCAAAATAATGACTATATTGTAATTATAGCTATCCAGACATGAACTGAACGTTTAGGCTTATAGGTTCTTATTTACAGATTTCATCACTGGCTGGAATATGCCAACAGAAATTATCTGCTGTGTGTTGTGCACAAGAATCACCGGCTTTGCTCCCAGCATTTTGCATATGACAGCTTGTACGACAACCATAGCAAGCTAAAGGTGGATGCTGTACCATTCATCCTTTCTACCAACATCAGGCTCCGACGTCTCGTCAGATCTGGTTAGTGGTTTCCCTATTTAAAGTAAATGCCCATAAACTTGCCCTCTTTTTGTTTTATAAAAAATGGAGCGCTTCAGGGATCTTACACTCCACACATTACAATCACAAAGCACAAGTGAAGGTAGGATAAGTTTGATGATGATTATTGTGAAACTTCAAAACATGGTTTCATTCTGTCAAAGATGAAAAATCTCAGTCTTTTTATGACTCAAAGTTCAATAAATAGCAACTGCTATACCCTATCACAATGTTTGCAGTTACCAACCTGGAGGGTGCAGCAGCAGAAGCACAGGGTGAGCTTGATGCAGAGGACAAATTAAGAATACTTTAGCAACTGATACGTTTTATTTTGGATATAGCTGTTTGTTCCACA